AATGAATCATCAGACAACAGTGCAAATCATATTCCGGAAATCCCTGGATGGATCCCCCAAGTCGAATCGATCGACGCCGATCGATTCGACACTGTCAGCAATCAAGCGGCTTCCGATGCAACGACAACAAGTGATGTTTTTCACAGATTATGGATCCTAGAGGAAGATAAGTTTCAAGGGGTAGGCCTCATTTGTTCTATTTTCCAATGTGTTTTTGTCATCTTTTTACAGTTTCTGCAAGCAAAGAGAATCAGAAAATTATTTTAGTTTATATGAAATGAACGTTTATTGTTTTTTAATGTTAAGTGCACTCAAACTTATTCTATACATATTATAATATCATAATATAAATTCCCCATCTTATTTAAAAATTTAACGTGGCATTCAATTACACATATTAATAATTGTTTTGACATTTAAACGGACTTTATAATTATTTTAATGTAATAAAGTATACGTTACGTAAATGTTCATGTATTAAATTGCAACTCTAAAATTAAATAAATATATTTTCTAGTGATGTGAAATATTGAGGCGTCAAGTGCTATATAACACTTTTAATAAACGACAAGAATGATTGGCTGATGAAAAAGAAAATCAATCAATGAAAGAAAATTATATATCGAGAAGGAAAATAAATTGAATTATTAAGAAAGATGCAAGTGCTTGTACGAGAAGCTCTCTGTTTGGAGGTGGTCGGTCCAATATGATGAGTGTACATTATTAATTTGGGGATTGGTGTAACATTTACATTTGACATCTCATATTGTCCACAACCAATGTTTGCTCACATTATTTGTTTTTCTAAGGGTTATTATAATATTTTATCTGAATTTAAGGAGTACTTATTAAATTAACTAATATTTAAAAAGTCCTCCAATCCTTTCATGTGTCACAAAGTTATTGAGAGGAATTAGTTTAAAAATAAGACCAAGTTGATAGTATGTATAAATTATAAGGATTAAAAATATATCAATTTTATTAACTGTCACGTTATCTGTTCCATTAGATTTTATAGACAGGTGACTACATTGGAACCACTTAAATAGTTATATGATCATATTGTCAAAGTAAAAGTATGATGGTCATACCGATACTAACCCAATAATTAAATGGTCATTTTGAGTAATTTAGCCTTAATTTTATATTTTGATTTAGTTTATAGAGAAAAAATTATGTTAGTGCCATTGTCTCGATTCATATTTGTGTATTTCATGCACCAATAGTGGATAGAGAATTATTGTTACATTTTAAAGTTTTGGATTTAAATATAATATATACAGAGATTATTTTTTTTTAAATAATTAAAAATCGTTGAACAAATATTATATTATAATTACTCAATTTATATAAAAAATTATACCCTATAGTAGTTATTAAATTTTAAGACAACTTATTTAGAGTAAATTACGTATTTAGTATTTAAATTATTAGTTTTGATTCGTTTTAGTACTTAAACTTTCATTTTTTTTTCTTCAAAATTTTACTTAATGTTTAGTTTTTGTTTCATTTTAGTAACATGTCGTTAAACTTAATGGATGAGCTCGCCAATCGCCGCGTCTACAGTCGTCAGCTATTGTATTCATCGACAAATAAACCCCAAACTTTTCAATCTATACCTTTTCAACCCTTGAACTCAATTTCGACCCTGTTTACTGGAAAGAGCCTCAATCTCTCCAAATTGACGATGAAATCTTTGATTTCTTCACCTTTCGATCTCTATGATCCATCGTCTGATGTGTTTGAAAATTGACTATGTTGGTTGACTCGTCATTCTCTGTGGTTCACTGTTTGGATTGGTTGTCCGTCCACCAGAGCTATACTACGTCAGTCCGTTCGTTAAGTTTTTTAATGAGATACTAAAATACAACAAAACTAAATGTTAGGTATATTTAAATACTAAAACTAATAATTTAGGTATAAACGCATAGTTTACTCATTTATTTATTGTGACATAAATTACGTTGTATACCGAAAACCGTATATCTATGGACACATTTAGGGTGCGTTTGGTTCACAGAATGTAAGATTACCAGTGTGAATAAAGATTATCACGGAATATATATCTGTGAATTATATTTTTGTTTGGTTGGTTTAGCAGGAATGTAAGATTATCGTATTTGGTTAAAGGAATAAAAGATTATTAGAATGTATATTTGACCAAATTGTCCTTATTATATTTATTTTTTAACAAGTTGAAAAATAATTATATTTTCTTTAAAAAATTTAAATTCATAAAATTTATATATTTTTTTTACAAATTAAAATATAAAACGGTTTAATGAAAGGGTAAAATTTATTTTAATCTCTGAACTTCATATAAAATTTTAATTAGAATTTTTTTTTGTAAATCTAAAATAGTTTAAGGATAAATTTGTAATTTAACCTTTATATAATTTTTATTATTTAATGACAGAATAATGATATTTTTTAAAAAAATTTAAGGTCATTTTAGTCCAAAACGCGGTAATCTAATACATAAGGAAAGGGAGGTAATGACATTCCCAAATATATCCCAAAAAATTTCTATTAATATAAGATTACACATTCCCAGCCAAACACACCCTTTAGATTATCAAAGCCTCTACGAGACTCTCAATAGCCTCATACAATACGATCATCAATCTGGGTCCCATCAATCATTATGTCGGCTATCCAGCCCGATCTCTGTGCATCTACAATTAATCCAACCACCACGTGGTGATCGACCCCTTTTATTAGCTGTAAAGTTTCTGATTCGTGACTTAAAAATAGGGTATACTACATTATATCAGTAATTTTGGGGTGATATCAGTTTTAATTGAATTTAATTACTCTAGTTATAACATGATATTTTTAGTTTTAACGTTCAATTATGTTATTTGATCATTAAATTTTAACGATACAATGATATGAACGATCTTTTATAATTATAAAATAATGTTATTTGGTGCGACTATTGATATCTAAAATGATATTATTTTAGGTGTGTATCGATTTAATAAATAATATACATTATTTATTTATAGATGATTACAATAGTACATCTCTTTATATTATTTTTTCAATTAGATCATTATTTTATCGAATAAAATTAAGTATTTTTAATAAATATATTTATATCAGATCGGATTCAAATTTTATCTCCATACCTAAATTAAGTCAGATTTCGAGTAGAGTGTATATTTTATCAGGTCAGTTGATAAAAAATCTAACTTAACTCGACCCATTACATCCCTCGTCCCATCTAATGTCGATAAGATTAACTGATGGATGATGATTACATGTCATAAACGTTCACCAACAAAATCTCGTCATCTGTGTCGACAAATCCTTCTAATTTAATCACTTGAGATGACGTAGTTTTGTGTTTTTGCTTACTTGCTTAGAACGAAGAAACAGTTGACATAACTATTTTATGATCGATCTGTATGTTTAAGGATAAAAACTTAAGCATATTTAGTGTTTAAAACTCGAAATGAAGGGGAAATTAAAGCTTACAGTTAGAAATTAACTGCAGTGAGAACATCTTCTTTGCTTCCATAAAATCTCCATCGGGTTGATAGGAAATGGTTTGGATTTCAGGTTCAGTAAAGAGATTATGAGGAAAAGTAGTTCATCTGGTAAACTGCTGATGAAATCTTTCATGGCAAATCAATGCTAAGTTTTTCTTATCTGATTTTGTGGTTTATCAATTGGATTAGCTAGCTTAGTCAAATTCAAAATTCACAACCAACTTTGATTTTGGTTAATTTTATACGTACACTTTGGATAAATTTTCTAATTGTGCTAAAAGAATGCAAAAAAAAAAAAATGCTGTTTCGAAGTGTTTCGTGATAACCAAATACATTTTTTATGAAAAATTGCTAGAAAAATATTTCCGGCATTTGACAAATTTTACGTTACTTCTCTGTATTTATTTAATATAAAAAATAAATTAATATATAATTAAATGAAAATCAAAGGATTATAAAGTTTCTATCTTCCAATCTGACTTCTCTGTAATAAACATTCTCTAGTTCAAAATCAAATATTCAAACATAACCTTTAAGAATTTTGTAATGAACCTTAACCTTGTAATGGTATATTCAAACGTAAAAGAACCCATGAATTGCTCTCATCCATTGAAATCAATTCGTTGTAGTCTAGTTGGTTAGGATACTCGACTCTCACTCGAGAGACGGGTTCAAGTTCCGTCAACATAAATTTTCATTCATTTTTTTCCTATGGAGCATGGCCTTTTGCAAACAAAGTCCCTTAAACCACTACTTAGCTTGCTGGTGCGTGTATTAGGATCCCCCAAAAATGTTGTCAAGGAGAAGGAAGATATGATAATAGATAGACAATAAGATGCAAATTGCTAGGTCCAAAATAAAACTCGACATTTTCATGTTGTTTAATCACACAAATGACATCTACTGCATGGACATCTAAAGTAAAGTAGCATGTGACATAACTTGAATATAAGGAAATCAAGAGAGTGATCAAACTAACACTTATCAATACAAGTAGTAAAATTCATGAGATCATAACTTTGTTTAACATGCTTAAAACACCAATTATGAAGGTAGCAGGTTTAGGCATGACTAAATTGCACAAATAAACAATCTGAAACTAGAAATATGATCCACTTCACAACCACACATATCAAGCATGAAATCATACAATCCCAACTTACTTAGGCTCATACTTCATTGGACAATCAAGATGATCGTGTATCATATTTAAACATTATTAAGACTCTTGATTACACATATTACAAAGAACAAGTATTATATAAGATAAGAACTTGTACATGTCACCTAATACAATATTATATACTCAGTGATATAATTGAAGTGGATATCAAAATTTAGTACTACAATTGCAAAGTTGAAAGATTAATGGTATAAAACAATATAACGCTTAAAAGGAAGTGGTATCTAGTGAAATTTACCCAAAACATTAACAAACGCCACCAACGCAAAACGATGTCGTTTGACAGCGCTCCTCTTCTACTTCAAAAAAGAACCACCACCTCGTCTAGGGTTTTAGCCATCTGTATTCTGTTCTGTGAGAACTGAGATACCAGGGGGAAAATGGTGTTGTCAAACAAGAAGCTGAAACAGAAGCTCAGAGCAGAACTGTTGGCGAAAAGGGTATCCGAAGCCGAACCAAATGAGGAAAATCCAGATTCAAATTCTGTGCCCCAGTCCCTGAAATCGCTCCTGGACTCAGTAACTCAGAAACCCAGATTGTCAAAGCGAGAACGAAAAAGAAAAAGCGTGTCTTTCCCAACAGGGTCGAACCAGGAAACTGAAGAAAATGGAAGGGAGGTTGAAGAAGATGATGAAAAGGAATCGGTGAGGGTGAAAATAGAAGACAAAGAAGAGAGAGAGGAGAAGGTGAAGGAGGGTAAAACGACGTCGGAGAATAAGGAAAGTGATAAAAACAATAAGAAGAAGAAGACTAAGAATAAGAAAGAAGAAAAGGAAGCAGAAGGATACGAGCGAACAGCATGGGGTTCTGCAGGTTGAGAATGGAGCCGAAAGGTAATTTTTTTTAATTGATTTTCAATGTTTAATAGAACACTTTATGCCAAAAGAAAAGAAAAGGGGTTTTATTGTGCTTTTGGTAATTGGTGTTTCAGTTTGCATTTAGGAAATTAAAAAGGGAGTATGTTTTAGTTTTTTGAGCTAAATTTTGCTTATTGAAGCCAATTAAGTATATCGTTTAGTTTTTCTATTTGATTGTCTCATCTTATTATCAGAACTGTATTTGCATTTCCTATTGTTATGGTTTGGTTTTTTGTAAAGATATTGGCATTTTTATAGTCAACTAGAAAGCTCGAAAAATGGAGAAGGAAGGAAGGACCTTTTATTTCCTTTTAGCTTTTATGGAATTTTATTGATTGATAATAATTTATTTATTTCCTGTTGCTTATAATTGGGGTGATTGTTTCGGAATTTCTAACTGCCATGCGGTGCTGTCTTAATGCAGCCAAGTGAGGGAGGATGTTGCCACAAAAGTATGTTGGAGGGATTCCATATCGCTATACTGAGGATGATATTCGATATTATTTTGAAAGTTGTGGCACCATAACTGACATTGATTGTATGAAGTTTCCTGACACTGGGAAGTTCAGAGGAATTGCAATTGTTTGTTTCGAGGTAATTATCCATGATGCTTGTTTGTATACACTTATGAATGCTTTATTAATTCAGGGTGGATCAGTTTCTTCATATTAGTATCATCTTCCATGTTTATCGTTATTGTGATGATAAGCTAGTTCTTATGACAGTCGGAAGGGGCAGAAGCTAAAGTTTTTTAGCACGTCATTACATGAGAGTTGGCTCTATTTGTTCTTTGAAAATGGATTTTTCATGTGTGTATATATATATATATGTTTGAAACACCGAAAAATCTTCTTGTAGGTTCTTGACTACGGATAGAGTTTGCTGACATTTTTATTTTCACTTTATACAGACAGAAGCGGCAGCAAAAGAAGCCTTGGCTCTTGATAGAGCTGAAATGTGAGTAAATGTTATGATCTTCAGTTGGCTATATCATTATTTTCCATTGTCAACCGGTGCTTATAATTTTCTGATGTTTTCCCAGGGGTGGAATGCAGCTGACAATTCAGCCCTACAAATCCACTCGAGCCAATAAAGCGACTGGCTTTGCCCCGAAGATGATGGAGGGATACAACAGAATATATGTTGGAAATCTATCTTGGGATATAACCGAGGATGATTTGAAGAAGTTTTTCTCTGATTGCAATGTATCATCTATACGCTTTGGCATAAACAAGGAAACAGGGGAATTCCGAGGCTATGCTCATGTGGATTTCTCTGATAGTGTATCAGTAGCCATGGCACTGAAGTTGGACCAAGAAATTGTCTGTGGTAGACCTGTGAAGAGAAGTGTGCTGTTCCTAAGAAAGCAGTGCAAACTCAACAGGATCTCATCAAACAAGTACTGAAGTCCATAGAAATGATGAAGAGCTTCAAGTAAAGAAGTACCTATGAGTGTCAAAGCACCCATGGTTGTGAGTGTCGAAGTGCCTCAAGTTAGTGAAATTGATAACGGAGGTTTGAGCGTTAGCAGTGGTAAGCTGAGGAGAAGGACGTGCTACCAGTGCGGACAAAAGGGTCATATTTCTTCTGCTTGCCCTAAAGGACCTGCGAGTGCCGAAGCGCCTATTGGTCACGAAGCACGTACTGGTAATGAAGCACCTCTGAGCGTCGAAGCACCTACAGTTAATGAAGTTGATAATGTTGGCTTGAGCGTTAGCAGTGGTAAGTTGAGGAGAAGGACGTGCTATGTGTGCGGACAAAAGGGCCATATTTCTTCTGCTTGCCCAAAAGGACCTACAAGTACTGAAGCACCTACTAGTAATGAAGCACCTCTGAATGTTGAAGCACCACTAGATAATGAACCACCTCCAGTTAATGAAGTTGAGAACGGGATTTCGAGCGTTAGTAGTGGTAAGTTGAGGAGAAGGACGTGCTACGAGTGCGGACAAAAGGGTCATATTTCTTCTGCCTGCCCAAATAAGAAATCTGCAGAAACAACAATGCAAACACAAATTGACCCCCAATGGAAGATTTTTCACCTATCACCTCAATTGCTGCAACTGTTTACATGTGCCTCCTGTTGTACTTACAAATTGGCAAAGATTTGAGGAAAATAGATAGTTCATAGCTATAAGTGAGCTTCAACCGTTGCAGTTTTGGAAGCTCGAAGGCTGTCAAATTGTTTCCATGTTTTCAGCATCATGGTTTCACGGGACTGGCTTTGACTTTTTGTTAAAAATGGAAATTTTGTCATTTCACTTTGGTCCGTGAGCTAGCTTTCTGGTAGTTCACAAATTATGCAAGAACGTGCTGGGATTTTGGCCCCACAACTGATGAAATTGTCCCATGATGTTGGTTTAAACTCAAAAACAAATTTATCTAATTTCTAGTAATGATTCCTTACATATCTTAATCATTCATGATTTTGTCAAAGATTACATCTTTATTTTAATGTATGCAACTTGATTTATTGAATGGCATCTTTTGAAAACAACAGCATGAACTGATTAAGTTTGGATTCGATGTTCGGATTTGATATTTGAAAAGCGAGCCTTGTTTCCTCTATAAGTGAGAAGGTTCTCTATCTGTGTATTTGCTAGTACTTGTCTTTATTAATTTTCTTGGCTCTTATAAATATGCAGAATCCCACTTTTCCTCTAAGCTGTTCCATGTGATTCAATGACACCTATTGGCCTAACTTCACCTGCCCTGAATTGCTTTTCAAATCTGCAGGTTTCAAAATTCAAAAATTTTTAATGCCTAAATATTTAACTTTCATTTGAGCTGTGTAGAACAGCAATGGCAACCAATACAAGAGGGAAACCAGAGTTAGCAATGCAGAAGAGATATCAAGAGAGAGTAACTAGTCCTGAGGGAAACATCGTTTGGGTCAAAAGAAAACCGAACAACGAACATAAAGTTCCTGTGGTTTACTACTTGTCCCGCAATGGCCGGCTTGAACATCCTCATTTCCTGGAAGTCCCTCTTTCTTCTCCACAAGGACTCTGTCTCAAAGGTAAACATAAATGGGGTTCTCTTGAAATTTAGTGTACTTCTCCCTGATCTGTAATTTGCCTGTGTTGTAATCTGATCTGTCCTTGCAGATGTTATAAATAAACTGAACAACCTCCGAGGTGATGGCATGGCCAATAGGTTTTCCTGGTCTTCAAAAAGGTATTATAGATTTCTTTTATTCTTCTTGAAATAATAAGATTCAAATTCGATGTCAAGTGAGCTAATGTAAAAATTTCGTTTCAGGAGCTACAAGAACGGATATGTGTGGCAAGATTTATCGGAAAACGCTTCATATACCCATGTCATGGACGTGAATACATTCTGAAAGGCTCGCTGCTTTTAGAAACGTCTCTAAGCTTTCGATCCTACGAAACGGTTTCTTCAACTTCATCGATCTCCAAAGATTCCTCAGAAAATACGGTTCGAGCAAAGATTCCAATGTTGTTGCAAAAACTGGAAGGAAACACCAGTCATGGAGTGAATTCAAGGAGCTTGATGAAGTTGATCACAGAATCTTTGTGGCCAAAACCAGCAGAGAACTTATCAGCAAAGGCAACAGTGTGTCTACTCAGACAGATGATGGTACCAAACAAGGAAGGTTTGGGGTTGAAATAACTGAAGAACATGAAATGGAACCGAATGATTTGCATGCTTTCGACCGTTTTCGCATTCGAACTCAGAAATTCTGAAAGGCCTTACACTCCGCAGATATTAGAGACCAAGCGTTGAAGATGTCCTAGTGGTAGGATCAAAGCATCTGCAGTGTTAATGCAATTGATTGCTTGTGGATCAAGAAGGGTCAAGGATTGGGAATCAATGGAAGTAAGGGGTTGATGAGAAACTAGTCATGCCATGAATCGTGATGCCTTGGTGAATGTATTTCAGTTCTTGAAGGTGAAAACAAATGGTGCCTCCATCTTTTATCTAACATCAACTTTTATGTTAACGTTAGATAAAAGATTTGAGACTATAACTAAAGAGTGTCTTGTGTTCTTGATGTGTAATTATTGCTGGCAAATTGTTATTTTCCCATTAAAAAGGACAATAATGGTTTTCTGAAATGAAAGTGAATTTTGTGTTCTAACATTAAAAAAAAAAGTAGATTCTAGGCTTCAAGAACCACACTTAGTTTAGACTCAATGGACTAGGGCTAAGTTTTCATTTTAAATATTTTTTTTTAGTTTAAGGGATTACAATTTAGGATATGTAGATAAATTATAGACGCAAAGGCTCGAATTTAAATTTTCTAAGAAAAAAACATTTTATTTTCTTTGAGATCACTTAACAAGTGTTTTTTTTACATTAAATATTTAATTCAGTATCTTTATCTATGCAATACAGTAAGGTCTAAATTTTTTTTTCCATCTGATCGAAGAATATGAATATCAGATTAATCTCATGTTTTCTATATAATATACTAACAATAATGTTAATGTAACTAAATTCAATTAACTTTAATTAGTCAACTTTATACATATTGTATTATATCAACTAGAATCTCTTGTTTATGAGCATCCGTTCCCCTAATAGAAATTAAGTGTTCTTCACTTAACGTTCAATTTTTATATTACAAAAAACAAAAAACTAATGTATTTTACTATTTTAGATATATATATATATTAAAATCACCTGGTCCTTGAGGACAATGACAATGAAAGGCTATATGCAATTAAGCTTGTTTCATCTTTCTTTCCACATTGTTTTTTCCTACAAAAGAAACTCACGTCACTTGCCTATTGCCTACATAGTACCAACTGACTATTCTCTCTGTGTTTTTGTTTTCTCAAATGCCTTTTTCTGGTTCTTCAATCTCCATCATCCTTCTTATGATTTATCTTCATTCACCACTAATGAATGCATTCAAACCCCAAAACTAAAAAGCCAAACCCAATCTTTTTGTCCTGAGATTTGATCATTTGTTAGCTACTTTGAAGTTCTTCTAAGTTAAACTCATCTGAAGTGCTGTGTTTCTTTCAATGGACCCATTAAAGGGTTCAAACTAAATTCAATTAACTTTAATTAGTCAACTTTATACATGCTTTTATTGTTATATCAACTAGAATCTCTTGTTTATGAGCATCCGTTCCCCTAATAGAAAATTAAGTGTTCTTCACTTATAACGTTCAATTTTTATATTACAAAAAACAAAAAACTAATGTATTTTACTATTTTAGAATATATATATATATATAATATATATATTAAAATCACCTGGTCCTTGAGGACAATGACAATTGAAAGGCTAATAGCAATTAAGCTTGTTTCATCTTTCTTCCTCCACATTGTTTTTCCTACAAAAGAATCACTCACGTCACTTGCCTATTGCCTACATAGTACCAACTGACTATTCTCTCTGTGTTTTTGTTTTCTCAAATGCCTTTTTCTGGTTCTTCAATCTCCATCATCCTTCTTATGATTTATCTTCATTCAACCACTAATGAATGCATTCAACCCCAAACAAAGCCAAACCCAATCTTTTTGTCCTGAGATTATTTTGATCATTGTTGTTAGCTACTTTGAAGTTCTTCTAAGTTAAACTCATCTGAAGGTGCTGTGTTTCTTTCAATGGACCCATTAAGGGTTCAAGAGAAGGAAAAACAGCAGACAAGTGGTTGATAGAACCTCTTGCCTTCTTCTTCTTCCAACATTGTTCCTTCTTTGAGTCTCAACCTCATTATGAAGTGTACCAGTAGGCATCTGTTAGGTAAAATTTCAGATTTAGGGCATTGAGAGTACAAGCTTAGTGAATAAATTGATGCTTTTTGAGGTCATTTGGATGTAATGATGTTGTAAACATCCCTAATAACTTGGTATGAAATGTATTTCGCATTTTTCGTGTTTCGTCTGCCCGTGTTCTTAGGCTTTTTCTCAACTCTATTTGTCAATGGCTGTCATGACAGGCAATTTTTTTCAAGGGTGCCCAAGTATGAGTTAGATCCACATGTTTATAGTTATTAGGATAGAAATTAGAAAGCGGTATTGATGTTTTTATTTTCCTTTACGAACTAGGTGTTGGTATTTCAGTATTGCATTTCGAAAGGCTAAGCAATGGGCAATTAATTTCCCTCGTGGTTGCAGTTCATATATTATAGTTGTTGCTTGCATGTAAATGTCTGTTTATTGAATTACAATCGGATGTGATATACACGTTAGGATAAAGTTCATATTGCAACTTGTCGTTTTGACTAAAACTTGATTTTGTTCGTACGAAGCCGTTTATTAAGTGGTCTGGAACCTGACCTTAAGAAGAGCTTAAACGTCACTACACAGCTGCAGAGTGGATCTTGCCTCATCATGCAAATTGTACTCGAACTTGACCATGAATGTTGATGTTTAATATCTCCATATATGGGCTACTTTTGCTTATGTAAAGACTGCACTTCAGTTTGTGCTATTTGTCATCATTTTGTCGTAGTCGGTAATGTGCTTTAAATAACTCATTTTTGTTATCACAACAAAACTCAGAGGATATATTGCATGTAGGTGGTAAGAACATGCTAAATTATCCTATTAGCTTCGTCATATGTTGAAAATAAAAGAGATACTTGCTTTTTGTTCTTGTTTTGAGCTTTTATTTGTATGTGGTATTGTTTTAATTCAAGGTTAACGGCGTAATGTCATTCATATGCTGGGAGTGGTGAGCCTTATGGTTAACAGATTTTCAGCGGATTATGTTAATGTTCTTACATCAACTGTTTTCATGCCACGTTTAGGACCTTTATCCCAATCGAAGGGTTCAAAAAGTTCGAATCGGTTTTCAGAATTTCAAGAAATACATTCAACTACATCTGTTCTCTAGTGAAGGAAGATCTGATGGCTAGGCCGAGCTACACCGATATCCATGGCAAGCCTCTGTCTCTAAATGATCAAGTTGCTGTTGCTCTTAGAAGGCTTAGCTCTGGTGAATCGTTATCGGTCATTGAGATACTTTCGGGATGAATCAATCCACTGTTTCTCAGATAACCTGGCGGTTTGTTGAAGCAATGGAGGAAAGAGGGCTGCACCATCTCAATTGGCCTTCCAATGAAATAGAGATGGAGGAAATAAAGTCCAAGTTAGAGAAAATAAGGGGCCTTCCTAATTGCTGTGGTGCAATCGACATCACGCACGTTCTCATGACTTTGCCTACGATGGACCCTTCAAATCATGTCTGGTTTGATCGGGAGAACTACAGAAAGGTTTTGCAGGCAGTTGTGGACCCTGAGATGAGAATCCGTGATGTGACTGCCGGGTGGCCAGGGAGTTTAAGCGATGCCGTTGTCCTCAGGAGCTCGGGTTTATTCAGACTTTCCGAAGAAGGAAAGAGGCTAAATGGAAAGAAGCTAAACATTTCCGAAGGAACCGAAA